CATCTCCAAATTGCATCTTAATTTTTCATTTTTAAGATCTTTCCCTGTGTGAGGAGAGCCCACAGTAGGAGGCTCAGCATTGGCCCTCAATGAATCTGTCTACTTCTTCCTTCACCTGTCTTGTGCTTCTCCACATGAGTGTGTTTGGGTGTGTGTGGGGGAGAATCAGCTTATCTAGCTCTTAAATTCCTCTGTGGGTGGCCTAAAACTCTTGCCCCAAATGCTAGGCATAAAGCCTGGGAGTGGTTTGACACCCCAGTTTCCCCATCACTGGCATAATGTGCTGCCACTCTGTCCTGCCCTCCAGTGTCCTTCTTTGTCCATAGTACACATGTGTTTGCTATCTCTCTTACCCACTGGGATAGTATCTAAAACAGTTGCTCCAATTTTTTGACTTGCCCTGTATAACATAACTGTCTAATTTACTCCTCTGCTTATACTTGCTCAACACCTCCCTGTCTTACATCAAGGGTATTCCAGGCTGTTCACTGTGACATTTAGAATTCCACAAGTCCTTGCTCCAAACAATATTTGGAGCCTATCTCCATAGTCCCCTCAGCTGGTCTTCTCTACATTGTCAACATTAGCTACCTGCCATTGTGTAAATAGTCCTGAGCCTGTTTGCCTTTGCTGTTTCTACGTGGACTGGTTCACATGCTTCCAGTTGAAGTTCTCTGGTACTTATTGTAAATTTATAAATGATAGTTGCTTGGAACAATTTTGACTTAATTCATGACAAGTCACACATGCATCTTTCAGGTGCCTGTCCAAAGCTGTATAATATTGAAATTTTACTTGTAACTTTTTTCTCCGAAGGTAATGCTACTACTTAAAATATTTTGCAGAATGAAGGGAAAGATTTTCTGTTTAAAATTAAAATAATCATTGTACAGCTTCATTATTTGGAGTATAGAATATTTCAACAGGCAAGGTGTCTATACTGAATGTGTGAGTGAAAACATGGTTCAACAACTCTACTAAGGAAACCTTTGAACAAGAACAAATGAGAACAACCTTAACTCGGATACACCCTCCATAATAAAATATTCTCATCTGTCAGAAGCCAAATTTTTTTTTTAACACTTTATGTGCTTCAAGACCCCATCTTCTTATTATCAGAAGATGGTTTCTGGCACACAGTATAAGGATTCACTCATGGTATTCCTGTGACTACTACCCCATCCACAAACCTTTTTGTTACACCTAGGTTGTGGGGGTCATCAGTTTGCAGAGAAGTGACCCCGGACTACCGGGCACTCACTGTCTGGCGGGGGAGGAAAACTGTGAGGCAATGTATCATAGTATAGAATCTTAGGGCACTGTCTTCTCCCTGTGTACTACATGAATGTGATGCCATAACCAAAGAAAAAAGTGACGACTTGATGATATAAAGGTTAGGAGGTATGTTCCCAGGGTAGGAAACATTTGAGGTGGGCCTGGGAGGACAAGGTATGGGAAGGGAGGAGGCTGTTGGCATGTTTAGGAATGGGGAATGGCCCCATATGGCTGAACACAGGGTACCTAGGGAAAGGAGTAGAAGAGATTTGAAGTATAGCTGGAGGTCAGGCAAGAATGGGGCTTAACCATCAGACCAAGATATTTGGACATTATGTAATATTCAGATGAAGGATATCAGGTATTTTAGACATCAAGTAAGATGTTGAGTCCCATGATTTAAGAAAATAACTTTGGCAGTGTGATGAAAGGTGGTTTGGTGGGAAAGATGGAAATTAGATAGAAAAGGTTAACTTTCTAAAGAGAACCAAAGTTATTTTGTATTTCCCTTCTGACACTTGATTCATTGTTATCATTATTTTTTGCAATTAGAGTTATTTGAGCAGATGTGCTTCTTGTTAATAATGCTTCCTAACTTTGGGCTTTGAGCAGAGTTCTGAAGGAACAAAAGAGCTTGGTAGCAGCCACTCCTACCTGAAGCACTCAACAGTTCTGGCTAGTTTCATTTATTAGCATAAACTACTTGGTACTTGCAGTTATCTTTCACTAAGTCTTTCCAGATGTTAAGGAGATAAGGCACCAACAATCGTTAAGACACATTAAAAAAGCGCATCTTCGAAATCATAATCAGAGTCCATAGCCACCATTTGGAGCTCATACCTGGCTCATGTGCTATGCCGAGCATATATATCACCTCACTTCATATTGTCATTAAGTGATATTAGAACCATTTTACGGTTCTACAGAAGCTCAGGTGATTAAAGCTGCCATATGAGCAAGTAAGTTGTCCCATCCATGGTGATCACCTTCTGTACTTTGAACCTGTTTCCTACCAGGAAAAAGAAGCTTCATTTTGCAGTCACCTGTCCAGTGGCTGCTTTTCTCCCAGACATTCAATTAAGTGACTTATGCCTCGGAGAAGCCTGCATTGATCATCCTATTTAATATTGCTCAATTCCCTATTTTATTTCCTTCACAATATATCTTTACCTGAAGTGATTTCATTCGTAGCTTCCTGTCTGTCCTCTAAGCTCCTGTTTACATTTAATGTGAACTAGCACTTTGAATGTCTCAGACACTTTTAAGCCATTTTTTTTTAAAGATCTATTTATTTATGCTTACAGAACTGGGGTACAGGCTAGAGGTATGATGGGTGAGAGTATTCACCAGAGACAGAATGGGGAGCAGAAACAGATTACTGAAATACACTGCTGAGGGGAGCAGCGGGTGGGTCAGGAGAGGCCTGCCAGGCCATGTGGGTCAGCTCCCTGGCTGGGTATTGAACTCGTGCTGCATTGGCTTCTGAGAGCTTCATAATGCGGGTGCTTTAACCTGTTGCATCACCAGGGAGAGCCCCAATTTTTTTTTTAAAGACACTTTTGACTTATTTTTCATCAGACACTTCTAACTTTATTCTAAAATGTTCCAGAACTGTTTTAGAACAGTTTCTGGAACTTAATACACATTCAACAAATATTTATTCAAGGGATGGGTAAATGAATGAATAAATGTCTCCCAACCCCATGCTTGTTCTCTGGTCATGTCCCTCCTGGGTGTTCCCTTTGAGCTCCTGAACACCTCAGGGGCAACTGGCTCACCACCTAACCTGTCATGCTGAGTGTCTGAAACCCACTGATTAACTTCTGAAAACCAAATATTTGCTCATTAGAAAAAGAAACGCAAAGATCATTCTCTTCCTCATTAGATGACTTGCCTGTAATTACACACACACACACACACACACACACACACACACACGGAGAGTAGCTAGGAAGTATGATTAAATACAAAGGGAACATTTCTGATCATTTATTTTCAGAATCTATTGCTGAACTTTGTAGGAGGATATTAAAATTTTATGGAAAATAGGTGTCATTCATGAATATTTGGTCTTTTAAAGCACCAGACATTTATTTATTTTATATCTATCGATCACTATATATTTTACATCATTCTTCATTTTGTACATTTTTTTTTTATCTTGGTTGTAATCGCCGTGGACTTCCCACCACCAGTTCACCAGTGTGCCATCACCATAATCCCGTGTGCTCTTCCAATTTTGATCCTGTTCCCTGCCACCCCCACCGCCCCCCTGAATGTCTCTGGTTTATAGTTGTTTGTTGATGTTTGTTTTTACTGTATTGCAGTTAAAGTACCAGACATTAGTGAATTCAGGTTATCTCTACACACAAAAATAACAGTCCTGTGAGAGTTAGCGGTTTCATTCTTTCTTCAAGCTCCTTTTTTTTTTTTTTTTCTCTTGTGGTTTCAGACTGACCTTTTCAGAAGTGTAATTTTCCTTTGTCTCCGTGGAATCTGAGGCTAGTGACTGTGTCACCAGCATATTAACCTCCTCTTTTCTCACTCGCCCACATTTCTAGGAATAGCTTGCTGATTAACTCCTGGGTTAGAGAAGGTGGCCAGTGAAGGAATTTTAAGTACATTTCTCAGTGTTCTGTGAAGTTACATGATCTCAGCATAGTTAATTAACTTTGCAAAAATTGTAGAAGGGGGTTCATATGACTCTAAACCACAGAAGAAGCAAAACAATTTGAAAGCAACCTGCCCTTTACCTTGATCCCTACCTTCTCTGAAAACTGTGTGTAACACCAATGAAGAGAATAATGGTTGACGAGCAAAATTTTAAGACATTCTAAATATCACTGGTTGGTTTAATAAAATTAATTAGCCTGCCATGGAGAAAATTTACTAGCGTGCTGGTTAATTTCACAATGTAAAGTCATTGTGGGGAGGTGGGGTTGAGAGGACAAACCTTATTAGTTTTGAATAATTATTTAAAGATGTGGAGCTGACTATTTCAAACACTTTGATTGCCAAATCCATTAAGACCTTAAAATCTTGATGTTTGTATCCTAGGATATAGGGGAAGGAATCTCTCACTGAAATCATAAGCATATTACTTATCAGTTAAATAGCTGATTTAAGATGCAGAACAACAAGTAGAATCCTAATAAAAAAAAAGTAGGAAAGAGAACTTGCCTTCAGACTAGCTCATGAGAGGTTTCCATATCTCAATTTACCATTGATGCAATTATTGCTTTTTCTTATCTTTCAAAATCCAAACAAGATGTTTGCAGTGGCCATGGAAAGGTGCCTGGAATAATGTGCCTGAATTCATTTAATTTGCCAGCATTGTCTTTTTTTCTTCCTCTCTTCCTGGTATTGGGTAAGAGTCAGTTCTGGTGCATTAGGTACTAAATCTCTTCAATTACCAGCCGGGAAGAAAGATTTAAAATTATGCTTCAAACCTACAAACTGATTTAGTTTTAAAGCACAAACACTTCTCCTGTGGAGACTAAATTAAGCCTCAGAAAGGAGACAGAGCTTGAGGAATTAAACAAGGCAGGCCTAAGGCTGAAGCCAGTATTAGAAACCATTGTGGTTTCTTTCATTTGGAACTCCTGGTGCAAAAGAAAGGTAGCAGGAACATGCCGAAGAACACAACTGTGTGAGAAAGTATAATATTGTATTGCTTAGAAGCTTATTCTCTTTTCCTTTTTTTCTGTGTTCTGTGTTCTCTGCAGCCATTTTCAATGTGGATGACTCTGTGGTGGATCTGGAGACCTTGGCAGCCTTGTATGAAAATGTGAGTAGCAAAGACCAACAGAGTCAGAGTTTCCATATGTCCCTATCTTTATTCACTAAAAGGGAGGTACAGCTTTAAATCAATGAGTGTGACTCCTTCCACCTGGAAAATCACCAAGCCATTCGTATTCCTTGGTAGTCAAGATTTAACGTAGCACGGAAGGGATGAAGGCACAGAATTGTCAAGCTCAAATGAGAGCATATGTGATGAAAGCACTAGGTTCCTGACCCACACTTCAGTATCTAGGTTACTGACACTGTCACAACCTGCAGAGGGCCAGTTCAAGGTGGATCCTACTTCTTAACAAACAACTGTAAACCAGAGACATTCTAGGGGCGAGGGGAGGAGAATAGGATCAAAACTGGAAGAGCACATGGGACTATGGCGATGACACATGGGTGAACTGGTGGTGGGAAGTCCACGGGGATTACAATTGAGATGAAAAATGTACAAAATGAAGAATGATGTAAAAAATGTACGTGTAGAGAGAGAGAGATAAAATAAAACATTAAATAAATAAATACATGTCCGGTTCTTCCATATAAGCTGTAGGCCTTTGGACATCCTCCAGGGCTGAACTGTAATCCAGCCCTCTTCCCCTTTCCCCGATCTGAGTTTCATGTGTGACAGATGGGGCTACTGGTTCAGGGTGCATATTTTGAAGCTGCTCATATTTTGGTGCATTTTGTTTCTGTTTCAACACAGCGAGCCCAAGACGATGAATTGGTTCAAATAAGAAAGTATTACGAGACATCCAAAGAAGAGGAGGTGAAGCTGCTGGATAAACCTGAGCAGTAAGAACGCTTTCAACACTTTTCTCCTAGGCCGAACAGAGAAGTGGAGGCTCTTTCTTCCTGCCTCCTGGCCCTAAGACTCCTGTCCACTCTGTGCAGTGAGCCAGGCAAAGCGCTGGCACGCCTGGAATTGCTGCTTGAGCAGAGTGGTGTGCCGTTGAGAGAGCAGCCGGGAGATGTATGCGGCTCAACCTCTTTCTCCACCCCTCTGACTCCCCTGTCTTGTTCTAGCAACTTAATTCCTCCTAGACTAAACATTCTGGCCAACAGGGTAACTGAGGAAGGAAGAAATCATTGCTCTCTGTTTAAGGTTCTGCTGATACATTTAAAAGGATGAGGTCAGAGTCATAGGACTCAAACTGATGTGCCTAAACGTCGTATCCAGTAAATGGAGCCTGAACGTGCCAGCTTCCTCCCCTTTCTCTACCTTCTCTGTTTAGTTCACATGTGAGTTTTTCATCCCCTCTTTGTTTGCTCTTCTCTCCACTCACATTACAGAGTTGTTTGCTCTACAGTTAAGGGTGTTGCTCTACATCCTTTGAAAACTGAAAATTCAGGTGCTTACCAGAGTGACTCTCGTGGTTGGCTGGGCTCTTGGGGGTCCGCGAACCACACAGACTTCACTCAGGAATCTGTGCAGGATGGGAATGGACCGAGTGTGCACTTCATATCCATGTCAGTCACCCTTCTCTGCCTGGAGAGAAAAGCTGAGCAGTGGGAAACAAAGAGGAAATTGAGTGATCAGGTTTAGATTACAGTTCAGCCCTGGAGGATGTCCAAAAGCCTACAGCTTATATGGAAACCTTCAATCTTTGTCCTTGGGTCCTAAAGTGCCCCACTCTCCATAGATGGAAGGGCAGCTAAGTCCAGAAAATTATGGGCAGGGGGTTTCTGGTTTCATCCAGTGATTGACAGATTTTTATGGTAATTCTTGGAATCCTACATACATTGCTCTGACATGGAACTCTACAAACTTGGCTGTAACTAAGCACTTAGTTACAAAGTTGATTGAAAAAGCCTAGGAATATTGTGACTCAAGACAAATGGGGTCGCTCTGCCCTCTGTTCCATTGGCAGGACCCACCCTACGGCCATGGGGGAAATACTGAACCACTTAGTCAGCTTGAGCTGTTATAACCAAACACCCTAAACTGGATGTTTTATAAGTAACAGGGATTTATTTCTTATAGTCCTGGAGGATGGAAGACTGAGGGCAGGGCACAGTGTGTGTTGAACTCTGTTGAGGGTCCTCTTCCAGGTTGCAGACTGCCAATCTTTTACATAACAGAAAGCAGAGAAAAGCAGCAAGCTCTGTATCTTTTCTCATGAGGACACTAATGCCATTTAAGACCTAACAACCTGCAGAGGTCCCCTCCTTCCCAGTCTCACACCGGAAGTTGGGACTTTAACATCTCAAACTGACTTGGGGGGAGACACAAGCATTCCATCCAAGCAGAGACAACCAGGAATATCATAATTAGCTGAGTGGAGGCAGCTCTTCCAAGCTGAGCAACAGCACTCTACTCAGAGCCTGAAGTTGGCAGATGGATCCTGAGAAGGACTAGAAAGGAAGGGTTTGGGGCTTTGGGGGCCAGCCCAGCTGTAGGAACTATTCCCCTGGGCCCAGGTAGCACAAAAGCAACCATAGAAAATATGTCAACACATGGTGGCTGTGGCCAATAAAACTGTAGCTATGGAGACTGAAATTTGAATTTCTTAGCATTTTTTACTTGTCAGGAAATGTTGCCCTTTTACTGATTCCCTTTTCAACCATTTAAGATAAAACTCCTCAGTGACAGTTCATACAGAAACAAGTGGTAGGAATCTGTGCTGTGATCTGTGGGAATGAGCTTCCATGTAAAAGAAATAGTGAGTTTCTGCTGTTGCAAGTGTTGCCCTTTTCCTTTTGTGCTAATGCCTTTCTAAAATGATTTTTCTTTCAAGATTTCTTGCCAAGGCTCAACATAAAGGTAACTAGTAGATAAACTAATTATTCTGCTTCCCCTCCTAGTGATCTGGAGAGAAAGCATTTTGAAAGTGTGTAGCTGGTCATTGTAATGGTTTCCTGAACACACTAAAATATGGGGGACAGCAAGGAGGACTGTCATGAGGTCCAGGTGAGGTGATGTGCTTGGGTGCAGTGGCTGGAGGGAGAGGTACAGAGAAGCAGAGCCTTCAGACCTGCATGGATTACCTTTGCTTCTGACCTCTTACACAGTGCAGCATTTGTTTGATTTATGCCAGAGTCTGATTCTCTGGCAACTTATTTGCCAGTAGCTCCAAGTGAATTGACTATAAGCATGTTTTACATACTGGAAAATATGAATCATTTATGGTGCAACATTGCAATTTCCTGAGAGTCCAATGGTGCCCAGTCCTATAAATCACAGCATGGAGAAGCTGGCCTCATCACTCACCTCATCAGTTCTCTTGCACCCCAGTACCGGATTTAGAAAGCATTTCCCAAAGAGGTGTCATCTGTTGGGACCAGGCTTCTGAGAGCCACTCCCTCCTTGACTCTCTTTGTACTCTGCCATGGGATGGTGGGTAGGCGAGCTCAGTCTCTGCTGGGTTTGATCAGGCCTGATACATGCTTTCTATGTAGCTAAGAATGAGGACATCATACACAGTCTAGTAGGTTGCTCTGCTCGAGACCACAATGGTCTTGAGACCCCCACCGATAAAAGACACCCTGACTTGCTGAAAGGTGGCTCTAGTACTGCACTCTTCTATGGAAGAACATGGGTTGCAACATGAAATTGTGCTGTACACGGCTACCTGTGTGCGCGCACACCTGAGGTAACACTGATTGGGGGCTGGTAAAGCAAATTTTAGTTTCTTGAAAACAAAGGATTACATTGTATCATTCTACTTCTTAGCTGTATTGCTGCCATGGGTATATAACCCACAAATGTGATGTGTATATATGGCTAACATTCCAGTTCTTCCTGGGAAAATAACACTGGATTATGTGAAAAAGGAGAAGATCCCTAGTTTGTGATTACTTGGAGGGGATTTTAGTTAAACTGTTACAAAAAGAAATATCGATAAATATGTTTAAGTACCAAAGCCCACTGTCCAAGACCCTCTACTTGGGAATATGTAGAAGAGTTCTTAGCATTCCCTTATGAGTAAAAAGAGTATAAAATATGGTGGAGCCTCAGTGGGGGGAAGATATTTTTCAGATACTTGCTTCACAGTCTGTGAGTGTGCCTATGTTTTAGTGCTTTCCTAGATAAATAGGAAAGGAACCCTAGTGTTCTTCCTGAAGGCTTTGCATGGTTATTTTGGGACAGAAAGTGACATAGAGTCATTGTTCCAAATTCGCTGCTCTAGAATTTGCTATTCTTCACATTCTGCCAGGTGTGCAGACTAAACTAAAGTCACCATGAGCACATCCCTTGCTGGGGTTAGGACTTGTGCTCTGGAGACCCTCAGAGAAACTTAACGTTCCAGTGTCCTGTCTATGGGGCAGGATCTGAAACATAGCTAGAATTGGGGGGTGGGGAGGATGGGAAGATCAAGAGTTTGATGGTGCTTTTGAATGGTTAGTCAGTTACTCTGAGTTGTGCTGCCTTAGAAGCTTTCTCATTATTGCACCATCACCTCCCTCCTACCCCCCCCTCATTAGCCCGGCAAGCCCTCCTCCCTCACTGTTAGAACACTGCAGCAGCAGTGGAGACAAGGCTTCCCTGGCTGTTATCAACCATCACATCACCTGTCACACTCCCTGGTGACGATGGATCTTTTTCTCAGATTAGCAAAAAGGAATTGTGTACAATTTAAACTCTGTCCTCAGGTCTCAGCATGGCGCCTGATATGCTGTCAAGACTTGATACATTAAAGACAGACTGAAATTTTTGGTGACTGATGTTGGGGTATTGCTTTTTAGACACATATTTTCAGTTCCATTCAAAAACACCACCAAATTTTTCATCTTCCCACTTGCCCCCCAGCTCCAGCTATGTTTCAGACTCTGTCCCACACACAGGACACTGGAGTGTTAAGCTCCTCTGAAGGTCTTTAGAGGGCAAGTCCTAACCCCAGCAAGGTGACTTATGGCACGTTGGTGAGCCTGTAGTCTTGTCTCCTCATATTTACCTAAACTTCTTTTTCTGAGACTACAGAGCTATAGTAGTTCACCCAGCATGTGCTCATTTCCATCTCTGGCCCTACTGTTGAACTGAGGTGTTGACCTGCATCTTCTCTCACATGGTCTCCATCACTCTTCACTCACTGGGTTCATTTCATCCAGGAAGTATACATACTGTAGGATCCAAGCCCCATTTGGGAATTTTGTCCCATGCTACATTTGGAAGGGGAGAGATACAAGGGACTGTTCCTGAGGTAGCTCTCAGCTGCTTCTGAATAAATAAAACATCACAAGACCAAATCTCACCAGTCCCACAAGCTCATGTTTGTGAAAACTGGTGGCATACTCTTGATTTCAATGATAAATATATCAAAGGGTGTACTACTCATTTTATGAATAAATTTACACACAAAGTGTAATTTTTCATCTTGTGCAATTTAGAATTCCTTTGAGTTTCTGTTGTTTTACCCTACCACATGGTTTTCATAATAAGGCAATTTACAGAAGTTTAAACAAGGTACATTCTCCTTTCTGGGCATTCACTGCTTCATCTCAATGTCATTAAAAAAAAGATCATCATGACCTGGTTGGAGAATAAACAAGAAAAACAGCTGATAATTAGACTCTGTTGAAACCCAAATCTCCTGAAAAGTAAAGGAGGCACCAGAAGACAAGCCACTTCTCTGGGTGTGGAAAGAAGGAGGCACCAGCTTCCCCCCTATGTAAAAGCATTCTTCATGAATAATTGCAAAATGTCAAGGGAATGATGTTATGAGTTGACCAAGACTTGCAGAAATATCAGTTAATCGTCATTTCAACCCCAAAATGAATTTAATAGCTGTGAGTGGATTCTCTCCTTTTCTGAATTCATGTCCAACTTTTTCCACCCATTTTAGTTTATACCCCTTCCTCTGTGGTTGGCTAGGAGAGTGTGTAGCTTTTCCAACTTAATTTTGCAAAGGGCACCAGTGCCTAGCTGCTCAGACAGTGAGCTTCTGTGTGTGGGTCAGCACTCACCTTTAGCTTTTAAGATCTGGCTAGCCATCGTTTTAAAGAAACTTTAGATTGTGTCTACTTAATGAGTGCCTGCTTTGTTCCCAGCTTTGTGCTGTGAGCGCTGCCTCTGTAGGTAAGATGTTGTGAAAAAGTAAGCATCTTAGAATAGAATCATTATACACTATTATCTAACTCACTGAGCAAAAATTAGTAGCAGTAATCTCACTTCAATGGAGATTTTTTTAATCACTTGTCTACAGACGTTTGCCTCTCTTGACTTCACCTGTATAAATACCGCCTCAGAGAATTCCACCTTATAAAGGGAGTTTATTGTGTATTTTTCCTCATAAAGATTAACACTTTCCATTTGGGTTTAGTCTCCTGTTTGTGTAGTCAGAGATGGAGAACTTACAGTTCAGTGTACTTGCATTAACTTTCTCTTCCTAATTTTTACAATACATATTTTTTTTCACCATCATAGAAATCCATAAAAAGAAGTGACTATGTCAAACGCACAGCCTTGGAGTTCCTTAAATTTGCCAATCTGATACCTTATATGATTGTTAAATTGAAATTGTCAAATAAGGAATGCTTGGATAGTGGATTTTCTCAGTGATATCATTTTCCTTTTGACAGTGTATAAAGCTACATGATTTATTCTGAATTTTTGCAGGTTCTTACATGAGTTAGCCCAGATCCCTAATTTTGCTGAACGTGCCCAGTGTATTATCTTCAGATCTGTCTTTTCTGAGGGGATCACCTCCTTGCACCGAAAGGTAGAAATCATTACCCGAGCTTCTAAGGTATGTGTGCTGTTATTTTGAGAAGCTTTGCCTTTACTGTGGATGAGGAATAAATGGCAAGTTGGAAAGATCAACTGGAATCCTTTTAGAAAGACATTTTAATGGTTTTAAACTTAAGGTTGTGTGTTTTTCCTGATGAAGTGTGAGTGTGTGTGTGCGCTTGTGTGCAGCAAGAAGAGGAGAGACAGACTGACAAAAGGAAAGGGTGGGGGGAAAATGACACAGATTTTTTTTCTTAAATACCTACCACTTCAAGCCAACCTATATAGTGTAATTGTCCACTCATCTGTCTGAATTGCCAGAGTTTGCTTCAGGCACATGCATTTGATCATGTGAAATGTGTCTATATAGTGAACTAAACAGATTCTAGGCTTGATCCATGAAATAAATGACTATGATAATGAGTGATGGGCAAATAAATTTCTGTTGACTTTGCCACACTGCAGTTATTCATTATAAAGTTAAATTCTAGCACTTGACTTTTTTTCACAATGATCCGTGTCCTGCGTAACAGGACATTCTTCTCAGCAGTTACTGTAGTATTTAATTGCTTATCTGAAGACATGAGTTGTCTCTGTAAACTATGAGGTTTCAGTAAAGAAAGTATAAGTTCTACAAAATATAATATATCCCTTCTAATAACACCCTAAAAGGCAGGGACAGAAGTCAGACTTGAGTTGCATTTGGTTTGCTTTTTTTTAAATCCTAAAATAAGAGAAATAAATTTAACTAGGTAGGACTGTAGAGAAGATGAAAAAATATCAACTTGAAGATTTGCAATTGGAGGAAGAAAAATGCAGAAAAACAAATGAGATGGGGAGCTGTTTAAAACTAAAATTTAATAGACATATCGGCACCCTCTTAATGCTTAATAAACATAGCCTGTAGAAATATGTTATGTTCAACTCTGAGAATTATACTCAGAGACAGGGACAAATACACCTGCTGTTTTATCTACCCTAAAGTTAATTGTACCATATATACAGATATATCCTCCAAACATAGCTGCTTCTTTAATGTCATTAAGCCGCTTTCCTTTTTGAGGTCATGAAATGTGAAACCATGCTATACTGACTCTTTTAATACTCTGTTTTTGAAACATAAAACTGCCTCCATCAGAAATGTAAATACTAATATTTGATCCTAGATACTATATCTTGCACTGTTTGTAATTCATTGAAAAAGTATAAAATGATGGCTGTTTGTACATATCTTTAAACATGTATGACTTGAATCAGTGTATTTTTATTTCAAATACCATACAGTATTTCAAATACTGAATAGTGATATGCCACCAAACAAATCTATTGGGAACTCAGTAAGTACTTGTTGTTGAATGAACAATATTCCATCTAGAATTCTCCATAATAACTGGCATTTGCTGTCACAGGGCTTGCTGCACATGAAGAGTGTGAAGGATATTTTAGCTCTCATTCTGGCTTTTGGAAATTATATGAATGGAGGAAATAGGACTCGTGGACAAGCAGATGGATATAGCTTAGAAATTCTGCCCAAACTCAAGGACGTCAAAAGTCGGGTATTTATTTTTACCAATGAAAACTCATAATTTTCCTTTTACACCTTTAATTAAATATATGTTTTGTGTGTGTGTGTGGTGTGTATGTATTTTTTTCCTGGTTGCTACATTTATCTCTCTTTTCACACTGTAACAACTTATCTTTTTCCTTGCTTTCTTATGACTTTTAAAGAAAGATGGGTTTTTCATATGAGATCTTATTTTGATGGCAAAATTCCCAATCTTTGTTCACTGTAATATGCACAAATTAGATGTTAAACTACAGTTGGAGAATAAAGCAGGTAAGATTACCATGTTGGCCATAGCTGAAGGGTGAAGCCTGAATTTAGGGTGGCCACTTGTAATTTACTTACTCCTGAGTAGCAGGGCTCTGTTGAGTCATTACTTGTACTGAGCATTTTGAATGATTCCTTTGCCCACAACAGTCAGACTGGAGGTCTACTGTCAAAAGCTCTGAGCCTGATTATCATTTGGCTCCACACCCCTGCAGAGCTACCCCTTTAGAAACAACTAGCCCATATCTAGGCATCCGTGGGGGCAGGAGGAGTGGAGGGAGTGGAAACACACAGGCAAATTAGAATTAGAGCCATGTGAACAAGACACAAAGGCTGCCTTGTGGGAGGGCCTGTTCGCCTCTGGCCTCCCAGGGTCATAAAGTGGCCTGGCTTTCCTTTTAAGCTGTCCTGATTGTTTTTCACGCCATTAAGAACATACTTTTTTTTCTTTTTTTCTTTTTTGAAAGGTGGAAGGGAGGGATGGTTTTCTGTGCTAGTCCCTGCTTCCCTGTAGTACTCCCTGCCCCCCCTCCTGTCTTGGCTTTATGCCAAAAAATATTAAGAGACAATCTGACGATCTTTTGTGTGTTTGTTTTAACCATACCTGTAGGTCTTATGGATTATGGATTACCTGTTTTGGCTTATTCTACCCTACAAAGGGTAGTTTTAGGTTATTATTTTGTATATTTTGTATAGATATTATAAAAAATGGATGGGATATGGAGGAGAGAGGAAAATCTTGCTAGTCTCAAACAGAATTAGGGAGAGGGATCAAATTTTTAAAGTATGAGGGTCATAAACTAACTCAACTATATACTATGGCCTGAGGCTCATAGGATGATTTTCATTTACTTTTCTTTTAAACCTAGGATAATGGAATTAATCTGGTAGACTACGTCGTGAAATATTACCTGCGTTACTATGATCAGGTAAGAAATGGCATAATGTGGAAAACTACACTAATGGGGTTTCAACTCTTACACATAGTTGGCACTTAGAAATTGGATGATGGATGCATGGACGGATTTCAAGTCCAACATAGAATTTGAGCACGATCCAGCTTCCTTGGTTTACAGATGGGAAAACTAAAGCCAAGAGAGTTTAGTCAACTCTTGTAAAGAGAAGCATTATTCAATGGCACAAATATACTGACTTTCAATCTACAAATAACACAACTTCAGAGAAAGCACCCCCAACGCCCCCAGTTATCATAGTGCCTTCTCTCGAGATTGTGAGGGTCTCTGTGAAATCAATATCCATTCAGTAATTGGTTATATTTGAAACTAGATTCTGGGATGCAGATCAAAGTTGAGGAAATGAAGATGCAGTAATACCCAATACTTTATCAGTTATGTTCATCTGTGAGTAAGTTGAAGATGTGGAGTTTGAAACCCATCCTCTCTGCTTGGATTACATCTGCAATTAGGAAAAAAAAAAATTCTATGAGAATTCACCTGACCACAATTTTCTGTGTCTTATTCCTTCTCATTAAGTTGAGGACAAGGAGTCCAAAACTCTGAGAAGAAAGAGCTAGTGTTTAAGCTGTTGAGAAATATAGCAATCAATATGAATGGAAAAGTCTCAGGAAAATAGTTGTCAGGTCTCCTGCTTAACTATCCATGTAAGTTAGAGTTTTTCCTGTACACCAAGAGAAGAAAAGTAAAGATTCCAGATCCTTGTCAAAAACCCTGCAATTTCATCTGAAAGACAAGGGAAGCTGTAGAGACCGTAGGCATCTCTCTGACACTCATGCTGGGCTCGTGAACTGTGTCAGTGTACTTGGAGCAACACTCTGTCATTCCCCTTGCCTTTCCCAAGCCTCCTGTCTCTGTGATGGATGTTATCATTTTTGGTCTTCCGGCATGAAGCTTATGTTCCTCTTTAGTTCTTCTGTGTTCTTCCACTCAGTTGTTTTTAGGTCCTTTTCTATTTTCATCCTCAGTGACCCCAGCCCATTCAGGTTACAAGAACACTCAACTAGAAAACTTGAATGAGTGCTCAGCTCCTCTCCCCACTTCTGGTTATTCCCACTCTAGTCAACCCTATACCCCAGTTATTTTTATGTACAGTTACGATCATTGTGTGTTGGTTTTTACTCAAAACAGAAATGGTTTTCCTTTCCAAGTGAATGAATGCTTTACCCAGTTTAATTCCTGCCTTTTACAACCATGCTTTTATACACTCCTCCTACAAAAATTCTAGATCCAACTCAAGACTTGGTGCTTTCCAAACACTCCCTGTGTTTTACTAATGTGCTTTTTACATCAGATGTTCTCTGAAATTGTAACTATCCTTGTTATTAGCCCTTTATAATTTTTTTCTTTTTCCTACTAATCTCTAAAAATAGTAAATTAAGAGACCTCTTGGGAAAATGTTCCCAACACATATGTATATGTTCACATGTGTACGTAAGTATGTGTATATATAAATATGTAATGTATAAATGTATATACAACATAACAGGTAATGAGATGTTCAGCTTAAAAAAGAAAAAGACAACTTGTCACTTTTTGTTAAAAACAATGGCAAGAGCGACTGAGGCAATGTACAAAAGAGAGGGGCCTCGATGGTGGCTTAGAGGTTAAGTTTCAGTACTATCACCTCTAAGGAAGGAAGTGACCAGCAAAGGAAGTGACCTACATGGTACAGCAGACCTCTCCTTTCTCACTCGCTGCTCCCCTCAGCAGTGCATTTCAGTAGATCTACCTATTCTGCTCCCCACTTAGTCTCTGGTGAATCCTCTCACCCCCCACACCTCTGGCCTACACCCCAGTCCTTCTATACAAAAAGAAAATATATGTATATACAAAGGACAAATAGAAAAAAATAAATTGACAGCTAGATAAATACTTTTAGCCTTTCTCAGGGCTTCATCAAACCTTCCTCAGGACTATGATGTATAGCTGAGTTCTGTTTAAAGTCTGTTCTTAACCAAACTATATGTACTGTAAGGGGCACCTTCCCATAAACATGCCCCTGTGTCTGTCATGCTATTTCCCCATGGAGCTTTGTCTACCTACAGGGCCCACTTCCCTGTAACTCATGCAAGTGCAACATGTAGATTAACAAGACAGACTTCTGTGTGAAAATCCTAAGGGTATATATATTCTGACTAGGAATTTTTATTCTAAGGAAAAAGGACATTACTTTATTTAAAATAATCTGTAATAGCAAAAATGTTTGGTAGGTATCCAAAGATAGAGACTGGGGTCCAATAAATTATGCTTCAATCATAAAATGGAGTCATGAACTGCCATGTGAAGTGTATAGGAGAGAGTTTAGTGCCACTGGAAGTACTCTGAGGCTGCCTTTAAATTGTCATGTGTGTTTCCAAATGATATGTACTGTATTCTCAGATGTGTAAATTTAAACACTCACAAAAACCTGGAAAGATACATATCAAAATGGTCAAACATTTTGGGTAGGATTGTAGGGTGTATTTGCTTTTTACTTACTTTCAGTTACTAAGCATAGTGAACATATGTCACTTTTTTTTTAAGATTTATTTATTTATTTGTGCATACAGAACTGGGGTATAGACTAGAGGTGCAGGGGCAATAAGAGGCTTCACCAGAATCAGAGTGGAGAGCAGAGCAGGCCGACTGACAAAGTACACTGCTGAGGGGAGCAGCAGGTGGGTCAGGAGCGGTCTGCCAGGCCATGTGGGTCACTTCTGGGGTGCAGATTAAACTCATGCTGAAGTGGCTGTTAGCTTCTTAGTGCTGTGCTTTAACCCGCTGCACCACTTTTGTATAGCAGAAAAAAGATAATAATCAGTTCCATGGACCTTCTTCTATAAAATCATTGCTTACTTCCTCCTCTCTTACTCCTTGGCCAGGCAACTTCATTGGAACCTCTTATAATACATGTTGTTCTGCCTCGTACATAGATATTAGTGAGTAGTTACCACTTCTGTTAGCATTGCTTTGAGACCCTGAACTAACTCATTGTCGAATGTCTCTTAGTGTCTATAATATAGGTGCCTGATAAATACTTGCTGAATTGAATACACTGTAAATGTCCACAGGAGTGCAGTAAGTAGTGTCTCCAAAGAACCTGGTAAAGCAGTAGGAGCGATTTTCTGGGAGAGCAGGGCAAGTGTGTTGCACTATCGACAATACATACAAACCTGAAATTCTGACGACAGGTCCTAGGAGGCAAAAGATTGATCCTGAAGAATCTCGAGAGATTATGTTTCTAACCTAAAGTCAGCATGTGCAGATTCGCTTCATATCATCTGCCTCAACCAAATCTGTGCATATTGTTAAGAGGGCTAAAAGTTGCCCCTGAAATAAGACCCTCATTGAAGAGAGTGGACAACACTTCCCAAAGTAAAATCTTATAATAAGAGGTAGTTTCAAACATGGGATGACCTAGCTCAGGGAAAACAAGAAGTCGGCACTGTGCAAAATGCATTTCACTCAACTAGAGTGTAAAATTATGTAATTTATTAAACTCTTCCCTCCCTTCAGGAGCGTAAGTGATGATTTTTGTGGTTAGTGGTGTTGAGCAGTTGAAGAAAGGTGACTTCTGCTCCAAGCACCTTCTAGTCATGCCTGGTTTTAGCTCCAAGTCTA